AAGAATACACTCAGCATTTCTCATACTGAAAGACCTGAAGATAAAATGCAAGCCTCAACTTGCATTATTGAAGAATTCAACGGGTCAAACAGTTGAATGATGCAGAAAGGATCAAAAGAAAATGCAAGAAATATACAGAATCACTGTACCAAAAAGATTGATCTATGTTCAACCATTTCAAGAGATTGCATATGATCATGAGCTAATGGTCCTGAAGGAGGAAATCCAAGGTACACTAAAGGCATAAGTAAAGAACAAGGCTACCAGAATTGATGGGATACAAATCAAAATCTTTCAACAAACTGATGCAGCACTGGAGGCACTTACTCATCTAAGTCAAGAAATTTGGAAGACCTGGCAAAGTGATTGATAGACACCCATATTAATGCCCATTCCAAAAAGAGGTGACACAGTGGAATGCAGAAATCATTGGACAGTATCACATGCAAGTAAAATTTTGCTAAAGATAAGTTAAAAATGGTTACAACAGTATATTGACAGGTAACTGCCAGAGGTTCGAATTGAATTCAGACAAGGACATGAAACAAGGGATATCAGTGCTGACATCAGATGGATCTTGGCTGAAAACAGAGAATACCAGAAATGTGTTTATCTCTGCTTTATTTACTACACAAAGATTTTCGATTGTGTGGATCATGACAAGCTATGGATAATACTGTGGAGAATGAGAATTCCAGAACACTTAGTTGTGCTCTTGAGAACATGTATGTTGACCAGGAGGCAGTCGTTCAAATAAAACAAGGGGACAACTGTTGTACTGTTAAGTGTCATCGAGTCAGATCAACTCAGAGCAACCATATACAGGGTTTCTGAGGAGCAGCTGGTGAGCTTGAACTGCTGACCTTGTGATTCAAACCAACCTTGCAGTCCAGCACAACACCAGAACTCCCAGGGGACACTAAATGGTTTAAAATGAGGAAAGGTGTGTGCCAGGGTTACATTCTTTCACCAGACTTATTAAATTTGTATGCTGAGCAATTATTATGAGAAGCTGAAGTATTTGAAGAAGAACATGGTATAAGGATTGGAGGAAGACTCATTAACAATTTGCGATATGCAGATGATGCCAACTTGCTTGCTGAAAGTGAAGAGGACTTAAATATTTACAAATGAAGATCAAAGACCACAGCC